TTAGATGGATTAAAGAGAGTAAATTGACCATTTTACCATTAATGAAAAGATAACATGAACCATTAGATCATAAATTCTATGTTCTAATATTGGCCACACATCTCTCTTTCTCTTTTTTTAATCTCAACCACTCACAACCACACAATATTCTTTATCTCATTTAGTCATTTTCTCACTCGACTAGGTACAACTAGTATAACTCGTACAACTAAACATATTAAAATTATATAACTAGTATATAAATATTAAAATTTGCCCATGGAATAAACAAGTAAATATTCTAGCTGATATATGATGACAAATTTTATCTATTTTATTTAAGATTTTTAATTTTTTTGTTAAATTATTACACTACACTCTTAATTTTACATTATATATTTTATATTCTTAAGGTTTATTAACTATATTAGTCATATTATTATGATAAAGAAAAATTAAACATATTTTTACAAAGGTATGATGTGAAAATTTTGGTACAATACATATAAACAGTTGATATAGTTTTTTTTATACATTTGACGAGTATTACTGGTATAACTTTGATATTTCAGAAATTGACAAAACCAAATTTATATTCCATATGAGAAAAAAATCAAATATCTCAAATGGTATGTATTCATAAATTTTCTTTAATTTAATTTGAAGTTTTGAATTTTTTTTAAAAAAACTATTACATACCTCCATAAGTTTACATGATCTACCTTATACTTTTGAGGTTTGTTAACTTGTTTGCCCACTTAATTTTTGAAAATCATACAGGAAATGTATTTTTACAAATTGATGATTTCATTGTAATCGGGCAAAGACATGTAAACATAAATAAGTGGTACAACTGAGGTAAATGTACTTATTATGTGGTACAACTAATATTTTTCGATTTCACTACCAAAGTACAACTATGTACAAACTAGTATAACTAAAAAAATAGTACAAATACGTACAATCGGTACAACTAGAAAACTAGGACAACTACTTGTTATTTTATTTAGTATTGTTTTAAATATGTATCACGTTTTAAATGTGTATCATGTTTTAATTATTGTGGTTGAACAATATTATCTAGTAGTTATACTAGTTGTACCATTCATATATATATATATCACTATCACTAGAACTTGTTTTTATTTGTTTATGAAAATACTTTGGTTTCAAGGACAAAAAAAAATGAAGATAATTTTTTTTTCCGTAAATAGTACAAGTGGTATAGTTGGTAAACAAATAACTATCCAAATAAATATTAAAAAGAAATTTTAACTAATTTTGGCAAATCCATATAGTGGAAGATAATATCAACTTTTTCATTGATTCTACATCATTCGCTTCAATAACATCATTCACATTTTGAAAACAAAAACCTAATATAACCATATTAATTGTAAAGTTGTACTAGTTATACACCTTCTAATTATACTAATTATACTTTTTGTAGTTGTACTAGTTATTCATGTTCTAGTTGTACCAGTTATACTAGTTATATTAGTAATATTATGTGTTCTTCATTGTCGGAAATTTTTTACATTGAATCCGAGATTCGATTTCATATAAGAGAAAATGGATTGAGAAAGATGTAGAATTGATTGATTTGGGATAAGAATGAAATTTCATAAGGTTTGAAGAACTTTTTTGATTTTATTTGGATAAAATATAAGTGAACAAACAAGGGACAAACAAAAATAGCAAACTATTTGTGACAAACAAGAATTCAAAATAGCAGATTCACTCAAAATCCTATTAAACTCTCGAAAACGTGTTGAGTTAAACACTTAAAATGTTTGTGACAATTGAAAGAAATAAATGCTAATGTCCATACCGATTTGAAAGAACATAATGGCTTCGAATGCAATGCAGATAAAATGCAGAAGAAACACAGATGAATTAAAGTGCAGATCGATATTGCATTTATTTCTCAATCAACATTTAAATGCAGAACATTTAATTTGCAGTATAATCTGAATGCAGAACACTACTACAAAGGAAATTAATGATCTGCAAAAATCATAAAAAATGTTGGGATTTATGCAGAGGACCAAGGAATGAAAATCTGTTTGTTTATATTAATTATTAATATATAGTCAACCTTTGTACATCTATTTTCTTTTAGATACTATAGTTCATTTTATTTTTACTCTTGATAATAAGTAATATAATTACAATAAGTAATACTTGTTTATAAACTTTTATTTTATTTTATTATTTGTATTTAAGAGATTATATTTCAGTATAGATATATCATATAAATTATTTTTATATTTCCAATATTTTCAAAAATATGATAATTTAGTAAAGTTATTTATCAAACAAATTTACATTTGTTTTGTATAGTCTTTTAGGCATGTTTAATTATATTTATCTTTATAAGATTTTAGTTTATATGATCATAAATATATATATTTATTATTCTAACTTTTGAATACAATATTTTATGTTTTGTTTTACTATTAAAACAAAATAACAAAATAGTAATATCATTAAATAAATATATTTTGGCACAGAGTTGTCCAACAAAACTTACGTTTAATTTGATTCAATGAATTTTAGATAAACAAAATAACCTTTTTAACTAAAACAAAATAAAAATTATTAAAAACAATGTTTTAATAATGAATATCATATTATTGAAATAAATTAGTATATATTATTAATTATATTATAACTTTACATATAAGTATATAAAATTATACAAATTTTTTGGCTTCTTTTTTTATTCGTTGAATCAGTTTATATGCCGAAATCATATTCATATACTGCGGTTTATAAAAATTTACATATATTCGGATGATTTAGTATTACCCAATCTAAACCACTTTCTTTATTTCGGTTTGGTTCCATTTTAATTGATTTTGGTTTTAACAGTTTTTAATTGGTTTATTTATGTTTTCACAACCAAAAATCCTCTTTAAAAGTAAGTATATTTTTAGTTTTATATAGAATTTTAAGATAATATTTTATAAAATATATAAATAATATATTCTTTATATATATAGTAAATTTTATACAATTTCGTAAACACATATATACTTAATTTAGATATTTCAAAATTTAATATATTTTTTATATAAAACATATTATTAACATCATGTTAAATGAATATATTGCGAATACAACGATATATATCAAAATCGACAATATTAGTTATACAGTTGTGATGAATTTTCATATAATTATAAACTTCACTATTAAATGATGGTATTTTTTTTTTATTTTTTTCAACATGGTATTTACTATTTATATTGATCTACAATAATTTATAAACTTATATTGATTTGCATTTGTTCTATTTGATCTGCAGTTGTTCTGAATGATCTGCATTTGTTCTGCTTGATCTGCATTTCTGTTTGATCTGCATTTTTTGATCTGCATCACCCATTTGAAGCCAATATTTAGCTCGCCATAGCTTGTATAGTGGTTGGTATTTAATACACTAATGCCTATATCCTCAATATTTTTTTGGTAAAACTATATCCTAAATATAATCAGCCTTAACTAATAGAAAATCAACATTTATTAGTTGTCTCGAGGGGTTGGAAGCTCGCCATGTCTGCGTCTATTTCTTTCCATCCAAATCCGGTGAATGATACATTGAAATATTTATCTCATGAGAAACCTTCTTGAACGTAATAATGAATCGTTGGAGACGACAAATGTGCACTTTTGCTGCATTCATAGTTTAATACTTCTTTCCCCCAAGACATCTACCGAATGAAAAAAAACTATTAAAAGTTGCAACACTAAGAGTGATGTATATATTACAAAACATTAATATGCAAGAGAAGATAAAGGGAACCCATAAAGGGACAAGCCATTCCACAAAGTCTTTATTCGTTATGATAACCGAAATTCCATCTGTTCCATTTTTCGATCCACAAAGATCAACATAACCGTATATGAACATTTACGACAAAAGCCTAACGTACATGGCCGTTTCACGAAATCTGGCGTAAACGCGCATATTCGGATATGACCATTCCATGAAAAATAAAATCTGTCTTTGATCCCTTTGATCATGCATGCACATTGCTCCCCTTTTGTTGATGTAAATCTAGCTACAACTTCTCAAAAAATTCGCAAATAAATGAAATATGTTGTAGGTTTGAAGTCCTCACATCTTCGCATCAGGCGCTCCTCTCGCTTTTCATGGTTCCTTAGGATTTCGCTAAAATCGCCTATCATAAACCAAGATCCAAGACATGTCGCCTATCATAAACCAAGGTCCAAGACGTGTTAGTTCAAAGCACGTCAGGCGCTCCCAAACCTCTTCGCAATACTTAACTACCGGACTTCATAAACGAAGGTCATGAAAACCTTATGACCTTCGATTTTAGTTTCGACATCTATCATACGATTATCAACATAAATGATT